TTGGAGGCCATTGCTATTAGGTTGGAAGCCATCGCTATTAGGTTGGAGGTGATTGCTGGCCATCGCTGTCAGGTTGGAGGCCATCGCTAGTAGGCTGGAGGCCGTCGCTATTAGGTTGGAGGCCATCGCTATCAGGTTGGAGGCCATTGCTATTAGGTTGGAGGCCATTGCTATTAGGTTGGAGGCCATCGCTATTAGGTTGCAGGCCATTGCTACCAGGTTGGAGGCCATCGCTATCAGGTTGGAGGCCATCGCTGTTAGGTTGGAAGCCATTGCAACTGAGTTGGAGGCCATCGCTATCAGGTTGGAGGCCATGGCTATCAGGTTGGAGGCCATTGCTATTAGGTTGGAGGCCATCGCTGTCAGGTTGGAGGCCATCGCTAGTAGGCTGGAGGCCATTGCTACCAGGTTGGAGGCGTTCGCTCTCAGGTTGGAGGCCATCGCTATTTGGTTGGAGGCCATTGCTATTGCCAGTGCTTTCAGGTTGAAGGCCATTGCTATTAGGTTGGAGGCCTCGCTATTAGGTTGGAGGCCATTGCTACTAGGTTGGATGCCATCGCTATCAGGTTGGAGGCCATCGCTATTAGGTTGGAGGCCTTTGCTACTAGGTTGGAGGCCATCGCTATCAGGTTGGAGGCCATCGCTATTAGGTTGGAGGCCGTTGCTACTAGGTTGGAGGCGAGATTTGAGAATGCAAGACGTCACTGGCTCGCAAAGTTTGCTTTTGTCCTCACCGCCGCCACGAAGTTTGAGCGGCTTTGTGCGAATCAGAAGTGCCTCTCCGTCCTGCAGGTAGATACTGGTTACAGGAAAGTGGGCTTCCTTTTAGATGACGACGAGGACAGAGCGCCTTTGGAAGCAGTGTGAGCCTTTGATTTCTCAGAAAGCAGCAGACGTTTCGGAATGGAGAGACGGACCAGGAAGAGACAGAGTAAAACTCGCAGGAGTGTGCCATCATTGCCGACGCCCAGATCCAAGACTTTCTCATAGTTGGCGCCAGCCAAGGCGCAATCGAAATGATTGAAAACATGTATAGTATATACTAAAAGTACGCATTTGGTCACTTGTCGCTTCCGCTTCAAGCAGAAAGGAGAGGGGATTGTACTCTACGGATGGTTTCACAAAGTTGCCTGCATTGACATTGTGCCCACAACTAACTACTGCTGACTGCCACAAGCAGGTTGGGTTAGTTGATCCTGGAGGCGTAAGTGCTCTTGTTTCCTGTTTTGTAAGTGTTTTGTTTCCAGGTTTCCTGCAGTTGACGGGCTTCACTAGAGATGCCGCTGCTCGGCCGGCATTGATCCGTTCCGTTCTGGCCCGTTCCGAGTCCGCCGTACGACGCCGTACGCTCTGCGCGGTCGTGCAGGTCCTGGGGCAGAACTGCCGAATGATGCTGGAAGGAGTCCCCGAGGCCAGGGGTTAGACTGTTCTGTCGAGGAGCCAAGGTGAACTTCGGCCGATGAGCTTTCAAGAAACGACGTTGCTGTTTCTGCCACCAGAATATCGGCACAAAGATCATATAAAACAAGCTGCTCCAGGTAGCTATCTCGAAGTCCGCGAGAAAAAACCTCAGAGATTTCTGTCGAATGCCACTCAGCTGAACACGCTGTCGAACGTCATATTGGGTCTTGGCAAACTGGATGAAATGCTGCTCTATGAGGTTGAAACAAATAGAATCCTTGAAACTAAGTAGATCGGCAGATCTAAGTATAAAGTACGATGTGCGGGACAGAGAAATCGACAAAATGAAGCACCTGTATGTCTTGTACGAAATGGTTGTTGTTGTTGCTTTGGAGCACATAGAGAGTCTGCTTGCGTGACCTTGGCTTGTGCATTTTTGTGCATTCTTCCAAAGAGGTATAACTCTGAAGAGAGAGAGAGAGAGAGAGTGGCAACTCAGGTGCAAGGTCAAGCGTCTTGACCATATCTCAGAGGCATTCACATGACTTCGATGATTAGAAGTGTTTCAGATTTTCCAGCATCTCAAACAAACATCGGACTTCGTCGATGACGTCAGGTTGCTTCTGTGCAGCCGAATAGCCGCCGGGATGGGTCAGCTCCCAGTGGGTTCATCAAGAAGTGCGGTGAGGTCTTTGGGTCGTCAAAGGCGTCGCCACAAAGGCGTGCCAGAAATCCCAAAGGCGTGTCAGCTCTGAGGTCGCAATTCGTGAACTTCTTCTTGGTCGGCCTTGTGCAGGTGCCAAGACACCGTTCTTTTTGGATTTTCCACATATGTCACCTTCACGATGCGAAGAGAGTACCGCCTGACAGGTCTGCAATGGGCGATATCTCTTGGGTGTTCAGAAGCCAAGCCCTGAAGGACCGAACCACTGAACCAAGGCGGCCCCAATTGGGCACTGGTCACATCTGGTCACTGACGACCTATTGTGTGTGTTTTTCAATATGTTGTTTGGTTTCAAGTCAAAGACTAAGGGATTATTATATCGTTATGTCTTTTTTTGGATATTGAACGACTGAGGCCACTGGGTGAAGGCCTTTTTGCTTCACTCAACGGGAGGAAGATGGAAGAGGTTTGCACCTCATTCGTCACGACGCCTCACTGGAGTGAAGAACGAGTGAAGAACGAGTGATGTTTTTCTTTCGTTCCATACGAATGAGGGATGCTTTTCCAGGTATCTGAACTGGCACGCACGACCTTCAAGAGGATCCGTGCGAGGCTGAGGGACCTTGAACCAGATCCAGGCGGGGCAGCTTGCGTTGCTGCCAAAAGCATGCTGCACGATGCTACATGATGCGTTTGTTGCAGCTTGCCTTGCCGTGCGTTGTCCGGATGTCGTATGTGTTCTGTCCCAGGACGTGATGCCTTATTCCAGCCACAAGGTTTCACTTTCTTCTCAGAGCGACTGCAGGCCTCTAGACCCAGTGGACGCAAAGCATTGTCTCTCTCTGGGTCAAAACATGTCAAAACCACAGTGAAATCTTGGATTAGGACATGACCCAGCTTGGTTTTGGAAGAAGAAGAAACACATCCTCCAACTGCTCTTTGAGTCTTTGAGTTAAACTTGCTGGGTGTCGGGGTTTCGTCCAAAATGAGAGACGACCAGCACATCCAAAGCAATTGTACTTGTAGCGACGCTATATTGATATAACTGTAATCAT